AGCAAATGGAACAAAGCTGAACCACTAGGAAATGTTTTAGCAAGAGGTTTTAGATATTTTTCAAGTAAAAGAATAATCTTATACCCAAGGGAAAGTGAATATTATGTAGGTTTTAGATATTTTTGAAGTAGAAGACTAATCTTATACACAAGGGAAAGCCAATATTATGTTCTTCTATGGCTGGAAACTGTTAGTACCTTCCAGTGTGAGAATAATGACCGGCAGTTAGAATGCCAACCACTAAAGACCAAACTGAAGAAAGAGGTGTCGGGGGAAGAACCCTACTTGAAACACAGGCAAAGACCCTCCCTCGTCGTCAGTTCCCAAAAGGGTTCTCAGGCCGTAGGAGGGCACATTGCATTTCCCATGTCCCTCTCTACCCCAAATAGCCATGAGGCTCCTTACCTTTGGAAATAGCTTGCTAAGTGGGATTCCAAACTTCTTTGGTTATACAAGAATCTACTTTATTCATCTATTAATTTCTTTCAGGTATTTGTCTGTTCATTTCCTTCAGTCATTTTACTAAAATGTAAACTGGATAAGGTCATGGATTTGTCTCTTTGTTCACTTAGAACCGTACCTACCACATGGTAAGAGCTCAATGAATATTTATGAGTTTTTGAAATAATTTGTCCTTTTATTCCTCAAACACTTATTCGATCCTTACCACATAACAAGTTCTAGATATCCAATATTAAAAGGGAATTCCACTGCAAATAAAATAAAACTAACTCATGAGAAATCTTTAAATTAGAGGAATGAAGTAATATTTCCTAACTTTAAATTCAGTCTAAATTTAAACTAAGAAGAGGATAATTCCCTGCCCTGCCAAAGAAGAATGACAGGGAAAACATACACTATCTGGCACTTGTCCCAAAATGATATAACACAAAACTCTGGGTAAAAATGAAACAGCTGGGCCCTGGCCAGTTTGCTTGGTGGTTAGAGCGTTGGCCTACACACTGAAGAGTCACAGGTTCGATTCCCAGTCAAGGACACATACCTGGGTTGCAGATTTGATTCCCTGAGTCCTGACCAGGGTGTGTGGAGAGACAACCAATAGATGTGTCTCTCTCACATTGATGTCTCTCTCTCTCACCCACCCCCTCTCTCTCATACTGACCCTCTCACTCTCTCTTAAAATCAATGGAGGGAAAATATCCTTGGGTGAGAATTAACAAAAAATAAAAATAAGAGGAAACAGTTGGTTGTGGGTGTAGCTATCAAAAGGTGGCATGAGGGGTCTTTATAATGATAGAACAATATTGTGTCTTGACTATGATGGTGGTTACACACATCTATACATGAGTTGAAATTGATATGTCTCAATTTCACACCCACTCACACATAAATGAGTGCATGTAAAACTGAATAAATCTGAATTAAAGTTGATGACTGAACCAATATCAATTTCCTGCTGTGACATTGTGCTATAATTATGCAAGAGGTTACCATTGAGGGAAATGTTGGAAATGTACAAGAGACCTCTTTCTACTGTTTCTTGTAACTGTATATCAAGCTATAATTATTTTAAAAGAAATGAAATTAAAGAGCAGAATGCTTATCAAAACATTCTTTATATTACCAAAACATTGGCACCGAGATACCAATAAAGGAGCGAACCTATATGATAATATATTGAGTAATTACAAATGGAATTCTATGCTTGTGACAGGGAGAGTATTCCCCATTCAGTAAACAGAAGAAGCAGGATTTACAAACTATAAAAATACGATCTATTTTTGTTAAAAAGTAAAGAGTATTTGTAAAGGTATATACCAAAATGTCACCAGTGTGACATTTAATTTTGCTTCTTCATATTTCTTTTTCTTTTCTAAAATAAACACTGTTACTCAAACAAATATCTAAACTGCTTTCTATCCTCTGGGTGAGGTTCAGATAAAGTCTGTGGTGCTCTAAAACAAAAACCAAGACAAGTAGAAAGACTACATGGAAAGCCATTCTAGTTCCACATGAGCTACCTGCAAGAGTCACGAGCATGACCATCACATTATGACCCCATGACTTCCATTGTGAATGCTGTTTCCCAGGACCTGGGAATTCCTATCTGTAATTAAATGGATGAGAGTCTGGCTTATGCAGACTGGGATGCTGGACCAGCTGCTTTCCAATTCTAAAACTTGGTGCCATTTGATTTTGCAATGGATTTAACAGACACCACCTTTCATTCCAAAAGCCCCTTTTACATTTCAAAGCATTTTCACATATGCTGGCTTATATTAATTTCAGTTTAGTACTTTTAAAAAAAAAATCCCTACAACAATTCTATAGAGTAGACACTATTATCACCTTCATGTTGCTGAAGGGAAAACAGGAGCAACCAGACAGTAATCTCCTGTTAGGGGTGAGGGATGAGATTATATCTCCCGACTCTTGGCTTAGGGCTCCAGCTCTTTCCTCTAACACCACACAGCCTCTCCCTTCCCACCAGGGATTGGAAACTGGGTGGACTTGGCCGAAAGTTGCCTGCATGTTGCCTGCCAGTTGAAAGAAAATCAACATTGCCTGGCACAGAGTGAGAGTAATTCTGCCAATGATATACACATCTGACTGTTCCCACATACTTAGGTTGACTGGGTTAATGTCGAGTAACCAATATGGCAACTCAGCTTAATAATCAAGAACAATCAAACCAGTTGAAGGACTCGAACAGCCCAGGAGGTTGATGAATCTAGTTGCTGTTCTCAGTCAATACAATTGCCCTGTACCTTTGTCCCCACAGTCCCAGAACGGAGCCATAAGTGGGGTTCTGGGCTGGTTAAATAGTCAATGGGGTTCATATTGGGCTTAGTGAAGCGGGGCTTTGTTACTTTTACCAAAGGAATTAACAGAGGAATTTTGTATTTATTTTGTAGTGGTAGCAGATTAAGCACTTCAGAAATAATGTGGCAATTCACCAAAAGAGGTCTTAGTTAGGTGCTATCTGAAATCATGAAATTAAGTGGGAAAACATACACATGGAAAAGGTTTATATGTTTTAGAAAAATAAATCCAAATTTTAGATAAATGATACTCTTCACAAAGTATACTAAACGCATGATATATTTTCATTGGCTGGTAGCACCATTTACACTCATATATTCTATTCCATGTGCCAAGCCCTCCTCTGAGGACCTCTGCTCAGAACCACCCCAGGGAAGTGGTTACAGGAGGGAACTGGAGGATCAGTGACCAGTGACGGTCAGGTCACTTCCCTTAAGTCACCAGCCACCAGGTAGAAGCAATAGGATTTCTAGGTCTGATGACTCCCAAATCAGCATGTTTCACCATTATTTGTTCTCTCAAAATGTTGAAAGAATATGCTCTTTTTATGAAAAGGAAGGAATGGAAATTTCCATAAAATAGCATAATAAATCACTCCAGGAGATAGAGAGTTAACTTGGAAGCAATGAGAGAAACTAGGCTGCACACTAGGAGGCAGGAGTGAACAGATGAATGGAAAAGAATAAAGGCTGATGAAATCAATGTGCTGGTAGTGAATAGATTATTGATCGAGGCGCTTGAAATACTATGCTTCTTAGTTACATAAAATCCAGTCTCCGCATTCAACCTACTCACTTATTCAACAAACAAGCACTGAGCACCTACCACATGCCAGGCACAGTGCTAGGCAGGATGAGCACCACACTGACTCAAACACAGAAGTTCTGGGCTTGGTGGCGCTCACATGACTTCTTGAGAAAATGAGGTCATAGAAAGAAAGCTTGAGGTAGAAGGTTTTGGTTTTAATCCTGGCCAGATGGACTTAAGCAAATTACTTGAAAGCTTTCTGAGTTTCAGTTCCCCCACCTCTAAACTGAGGATAAAAATATCTGTTTTCATTATATCATCTTTTATTAGGAAACATTTGAGTTTATAGGTGAGAAAAAACTACTTATTCTTTGGTCTTAGAGAAACTGAGGTAGTTGATGAGAAATAAAAGTTTTGTCCTCATTATTAAATCTTTCAAAATGTTTCACTCCACATTTTCCATGATCTAAGCTCTCGGGTCTAATGTTAACCATGTGTAAGGCTTATGGGGTCAGGAGAAGGTCATTCTTCCATACCTAGCCACCAATTTCAAAGTCTATGTTACAGGCTTAAGATGTCATCGTTATGTACATTTCCCCTGATTGTGGAAGGAAGGTGGATTGAAATTATTTCTTGGTGATTATTTCATTTTAAAACTTATATAGAGACATGTTGCTTCTTATCTGCTTCTTTAGAAACAGATCCATAGCAATTGATTATTTCTAATATCTTTGAGTAATTTTCTCGGCTATGTTCTTCCATAATGATATTATTTCATTGTGAGGGCAAAATAAGACCTAGGTGGAGATGGATGTGCTATAGGCCCACAGGAATGACCACTACCCAGCATGCAGCCGTACTTTACTGATTAAATCAAAGAAAAGAGATTGGATCCAGTCTCCCCCCTTACCTAACCTTCCCCAGAAGGGGTGGGGGTGCAGTAGGATTTCCAAGCCTGTTTTTATCAGCTCAGCAAATCAGAGGCCTGCTTTCTAAACAAAGAGGTGCCAACCTTGAGACTCTATGAAAGCCAACACAAGCCAGGCATTGTACACAAGTGAAAAGAATATAATTAGCAAAGTTATAGTCACAATTAGGAAATACCTCCTCAGAGAAGTTTCCACTTAACTTGGTGCCCTGCTCAAATTACTATTGTGCTTAACGAGCCTCGGTCTCTGGGCCAGTTCAGACCTTTGTGACAGACCTAAGAATGCCATCCATGAAACAGAAATACAAAATCTAATGCTCAATGCTTTGTTCTGAATCACAGATGTGAAAAATGTGCAAAATGGATCATGGGAAGCTATAATTTAAAAAAAAATAAGAAGCGTAGTCCTGGAAATGACTAGTCAGGTGTTAGCTAAATTATTCTCTCTTCAAGCTCTTTCTTCATCTCCTCCAGCCTTCCCTTCCCCATCCCTAAAGAGAGATCAGAAAAGAGAGACCAGGAAACAAAAATGGGTACTCACTTCATCTCCAGGATCTCCTCCAGCTGTTTCCTCCTCTCTATTCGGAGGTTGGCCAAGTGCGCTTCCTTTTCAGCCAGGGACTGCTGTGTGGAGGCCAGGCGTGCCTTGGTGGCGTCCAGCTCCTGTCTGGTCTTCTCCAGGGCGTTCATCAGCTCCTCTATCTGAAAGGCACATGCAACGGGCTGTTACTGCTCCTTCATTCAAGCACAAGGCCTTGCTTGCCAGCCTGTGTTCAGAAATAGACACAAAGGAATCAGCCATCCTTGAACGGGACACTGCATCTTGTTTACTTTGTCCCTGGTTAAACACAAATGCTTCAAACACCGAAATGTCCAAATTTCTCCAAGATCCTCATTCAACTGGAGTGTCAAACAACCTTCATAGAAACCCGCTGATATATTTATTGGAAGTGGAAGGTGAGTGACATGACCCAATTTCAACGGTGTCTGGCAAAAATCTCAGGTATTGCCTCCCAGTGGGCGGAAGGCAACACTCAAAATGCACTGTGCCTGGCACCATACACTTCTGTGTGTAGGCCCCAGAGGATTCTGACAGCAAGTTAATCTCCGTGTTTCAGATGCATTCATGTTTGAACCCATCAAAGCCTTGTTTGGCAAAACTGACCTGATGTCCAAGGGGCCTCACCTCACCTCCCAGGCTCACAGTCAGGAAGCAAGATTTGGCCAAAGGTAAACAGAATTCCAGCCACAAAAGGTTCAAGTTTGGTTGGCCCCTGAAGTCTGAGAGGGCTCTAAATTTGAAATAAATGACATGTAACTTTTATAGGGTGTTAATACACCATAGAAATAAGCCAGACTATCTAATAGCCAGGGTTTCCAGTCAGGTCCCACCAAAACTGGACCAAGAAGCCCCAAAGTAAGGCCTCATTCTCCCAAACCACTGGGGGCTTTTAAACGCCGATGCACAAGAAACAGGGCTGGTGTGTATAGCTTTGGCCCGGGGACTTCCATGGAGAAGCTGGTGGCATGCCATCCCTTGCACAGATGCAGGCTGCAGCCACCCTGATTTAAAACTATGGACGTTCCAGGAAGTTTCTAGATTCCAGATCTGATGCTTGGGTTTCTAAGCCACCCCTTTCAGCTAAACTTGGCAGAATGGGACCATCCATCACTAAAGGCAAAGGAACACACTTCAGAATGTGTCAGTGACATGTTAAGTTCCAATTCATAAAGACTTTCTACATAATTTCTGCAGCTTTACATGGAATTTATTCAGAATAAGCCTTATAGCTCACATCCAAGGTAAATTACAGGCTTTTAAGATCATCAAACTCTCCATTTTGCCCTGATAAAAAGAGGAAACTTGATGACCATGTAATGTAATGTAACTCATAGCAAAACCCAATACAGTTTAATATTTTGCCCTGATAAAAAGAGGAAACTGATGACCATGTAATGTAACTCATAGCAAAACCCAATACAGTTTAAAAAGCAACGAATATAAAGGTTACCCTATTGAAGTCTCAGAACCACACCTGCTTAATTGGAGAATAACAAGCATTATTCTTTAACTTTACAAATATACAAAAATTGAAACACAACCACAAAATTGTTTAGTTTCTCATACAAGTTCAGAGAATGCCATACATATGACTAGAAGCCCTTCTACAAAGCAATATTTGGTGAGGCTGAAGCAGAGATTTTATTTTTCTTCCTTCCCTCCTGTGTTGATGCATTCAATAGCTGTGTAAAGAGATCAGGAGGCGTCCAAACAGTGCCTCAGGGAGACGCTGAACTCACCTCCTCCCACAAATACATTGAATGGACCTGCAGACAGAGCAATTCCACCTGAAGAAGAACTGGGGGCTGGCTGAACAGTGTCTGCACGAGAAATGACAGAGAGACCACATAGAAACAGGCAGGAGAGCTGTGGGAACCCATACCCACAAGTCAACCTGCAATAGGGGTGCAGCACCGAGGAGCCTCCTGCAGACACACTGGCCCTAGGGTACAGCACAAAAGCAGTCATTTAAAGAGCATCTAGACTAAATGGGAAAGAAATCAATCACCTGCTTAACTCTAGAGCAGTGGTTCTCAACCTTCCTAATGCCGCGACCCTTTAATACAGTTCCTCATGTTGTGGTGACCCCTAACCATAAAATTATTTTCGTTGCTACTTCATAACTGTAATTTTGCTACTGTTATGAATCGTAATGTAAATATCTGATATGCAGGATGTTATTTTCATTGTTACAAATTGAACATAATTAAAGCATAGTGATTAATCACAAAAACAATATGTAATTATATATGTGTTTTCCGATGGTCTTAGGCGACCCCTGTGAAAGGGTCATTCGACTCCCAAAGGGGTCTCGACCCACAGGTTGAGAACCGCTGCTCTAGAGCATCTGCCAATTTGGGGTGGGGAGGCGGGAACTCTCTCTGGGGTTGGAGGCTCCAGGCAGCACATTTGCTGTGTTCCCCCACCACCTTGAGTGCACAGGCAGGAGGTCAATCAGGAGCTCTAGCCAGCTGGCCAAGGCCACCCTAGTCCCTAGTGCACCCCAGGCTCTAGGCTCCAGGTCCCAGGCCCACACTGGCTACACCACTTGCCCTTGGGCTCCAGCCATAGCTCCTGTCCCCTCCCCCAGCCCATGCTAGCTTCATTGTCAGCTCCTGGGCAGTGGCTCTGACCTCCAGGACTCTCCACAGCCTGTCCCAACTACAGCTTCCACCTCACCAGCCAAGACAGGCTCTGTTATGGCTCATCCCTGGAAACCCTTGGGGCTCACCTGTTCTAGCTACAGTTTCAGGCCCTCGCATAGCTTGTTCCAGGAATTATCATGGCCCATGCCCACACCAGCTACAGATCCAGCCATCTGGCCAGACACCTGGCACACTCACTCTAGAAAGGGGACGCTCCTACACAAGGCCATCCTTCAAGTCCAAGAGAGCTGCTATTTTCACCGATTTCATAGATTAAAACTCAGAGAAACGACCGAAGTGGGAGACATAAGAATATGTTCCTAACAAAAGAACAGAACAAAATTCCAGAAAAAAAACCTAAATGAAAGAGACAAGATTACAAACCTAAATGTAATCTACCAGATAACAAATTCAAAACACTGGTGACAAAGATGCTCAACAAACTCAGAAGAAGGGCAGATGAATTTAGCAAGAACATCAAGAAAGGGACAGAAAACATAAAAAAAGAACCAACCAGAAGTGATGACTACAATAACTAAAATGAAAAGTATATTAGAGGAAATCAATAAAAGATTAGATAATACAGAAGGCCAAATCAACAACCTGACAAACAGGTAGTGGAAATCACAGAATGGGAACAAAGAAAAGAAAGAAAAAAGAAAAGGAAAGGAAAGGAAAGAGGAGGAGGAGGAGGAAGAGGAGAAATAATGAGGCCCTGGCCAATTTGGCTCAGTGGATAGAGCATCGACCTGGGACCAAAGGGTCCTGGGTTAGATTCCAGTCAAGGGCACGTGCTTTGGTTGCAGGCTCCTACCCGACCTGGGTCCTGGCTAGGGCTCCTACAGGAGGCAACCAATTGATGTGTTTCTCCACATCAATGTTTCTCTGTCTTTCCCTCTCTCTTCCAATCTCCCTAAAAAGCAATGGAAAAATATCCTCGGATGAGGATTAAAAAAAAAAGAAGAAAAAGAAAAAGAAAGAAATGATAGTAAGTTTAAGGAACCTGTGAAACAACATCAACCATAGCAACATTTGCATCGTAGTGGTCCCAGAAAGAGAAGAGAGAAGAAAAAAGGTCAGAGAACCTATTTGAAGAAAAATGTTTGCAACCTTCTCTAACCTGGTGAAGACATCCAAGTCCAGGAAGCGCTGCAAATCCCCTAGGTGTTAAACCCAGAAAGGCCCACACCAATACACATCATAATTAAAATACCAAGTGTCCCTGGCTGGGTAGCTGCATTGGTTAGAGCACTGTCCTGATACTCCAAGGTTGCAGGTTCAATCTCTGGTCAGGACACACACAGAAGAAGCAACCAATGAATGCATATATAAGTGGAACAACAAATTGATGTCTCTCTCACTCTCCCTGTCTCTCTAAAATAAATAAATAAAAATTTTAAAAATGCCAATAAAGATAAAGAGAGAATCTTAAAAGCAGCAAGAGAAAATCAGTTTGTTAAACAAAGAGGATACCCATAAAGACTATCAGCTAATTTTTCAGCAGAAACTTTTCAGAACAGAAGGAATGGTACAATATATTCCAAGTAATGAAAGAAAAAACCTAAAACCAAGAATATTCTTCCAAGAAAGTCTATCTTTCAGAATTGAAGGAAAATAGTTTCTGAGACAAGCAAAAGCTAAAGGGGTCCATCACTACTAAACTGACACTATATGGAATGTTAAGGGGACTTCTTTAAGTGGAAAAAAAAGGCTAAAAAATAAAAAATATAAGAAAAAATCTCACTGATAAAGGCAAACATTTAGTGAAAGTAGTAGATTAGCCAAGTATGAAGCTACTATTAAACTTAAAAGAGAAAAGTAATAAGATTATGTGTGACTACAATAATACATTAAAGGATACACACATACACACACACACACAATGTGAAATATAGTGCCAAAACACGTAAAAGTGGGGGAGGGGTAAAAAATGTAGTACTTTTAGAATGTCTTTGATCTCAAGTGACCATCAACTTAAAATAGAATGCCATAAATATATCTTGTTATATATGAATCTCATGGTAACCACAAACCAAAAGCCTATAATAGATACACAAAAAATAAAGGGAAAGGAACTCAAATTATTAAATAAAGTCATCAGTCTACAAGAGAAGAGAGAAAATGAAAAGAACAGAAAAGAACTACAAAACAATTAATAAAAGTGCAATAACTACATACCTATCAATGAACACTTTAAATACAAATGAACTAAATATTCCAACCAATAGCTATATGGTGGCTGGATTAAAAAAAAAAAGACATAAGCATATGCTGCCAACAAGAGACTCACTTCAGATGGAAAGACACACTCAGACTGAAAGTAAAGACTGGAAAAACACATTTCATAAAAATTGAAATGAAAATAAATACGGGGTAGCTATACATATATCAGACAAAATAGACATTAAAAAAGACTGAAACAACAGAGACAAAGAAGGGCATTACATAATGAAAAAAGGATCAATCCAACAAGAGGATATAGATGTCAACATATA